TTGACAAATAGGTTCGCATATAATCTTCTTGAGTTGATACCCTTATTACCATTAGCTGCAGGCTGAATTACAACCTACATCATCACAAACTTCTGAAGAGACCCCATGGGATCTACAACAACTATTCCGTCTCCACAATTATTTTTTACAATAATATTAATATGGAATGAATCCAGGAAATTCACAAAGTAGACATTTGGGACCATCGCATTATGAGCACCCAATCCTACAAACAAATCTACATTCCTTGCATCCATCAGTATCTATTTAATTTCCATCCTCACAGGATTCCTCTCCTACTATCATTTAATCTCCACATCTCTCCTTACATCTCCAGGTATATGGGACTATGTACCATCCTTCAGCACATTCATTACACTCTCCCATAAAGCATTTTGTACAAGATTGTTAGCATTGATATTTGCAATTATAACATCCATCAAATTAAATATTATTGCCATCCTCACATTCTTCATTACCAGTAATCAATCCATCTCCACACACATCTAGACATGGAAGTATAGTATCTTTATCACAAGTCTAGCAATTTGCTGGACATTAAAACCTGCAATTAAAGCATTTATCATTTAAGTCTGTGTTATTATCATCACATTCTTCATTTCCTACAACTACTAAATCACCACAAATCGGCTAGCATTCTGTATTCACCATGTGAAAGCCCTGAGAACAGCCTTAACAACCAGTTGAAAACCAAATTAATTGGTTGTTATCACATAAAACATAGCATTGAGATAAAGAAGAATCTTAAGTTACAGGACAATCTAATATAATAAGAATTTATCATACTCAAACATATATTAGCATCCTCATAGTAACCAAAGGAACATTCGCATTTTAATCCTTTTAGAGTTCTATTTAATATTGCATCACAAGTTAAGCATCCATTTATGTATTTGGAAAAACAAGTCTAACAAGTTGAATGGCAATTAACGCATGAATTAGTCTATTCTTCATAAACTGTATTATCTGGACATTAGCAAATAGAACCAATCTTTTTAATGCCCACAATGTTGCTGCAAACTTTACAATCATTAAAAGTTGCACCAAAACATTCTTTGCAGAACGTATTGCATTATAAACAAACCGAACTGCCTTCCACTTGATAATATCCCTAAAAACAGTCACATTATCCACCTACTAGCTCTCTAAAATCACTAAAAAAGCATTCGATACAAAAAGTCAAACTTTAGCATTATTTGCATAAAGTAGGGCAATCATAGCATTAATCTGATTCTTCGTATTAATTTTATTTGCAAACACATCCAAGCTTAGTAAGAGTGTAAGTAGCTTAACAACTTTGACAATCTATAGGAGAAACACAAGTGATACAAGAAGCTGGGCAATTCAAACATTTTACTTAATTTACATTGTAATATTAATGACTTAAACAATCTGACTAGGAGAATTTTATAATATTAGAATCATATGTACTATTCCATAATGTGCAAGTATTTTCATCTGTACATTCTTGTCATCTTTTGACGGACTTTTTTAAATTTATTAAACCGTTTCAGTTAACTATATTATTAAAGAATTTTCCTCTAATTAAATGGAAATAAATAGATACTTGAAAATTCTTATAAAATATTCAATGATGACTATATATCTTATTAATAATGCAATTTTAAAGGATATTTTATGTTTGTTTTGAAAATACAAGCTTTATTTTTTACAAATTTAATTAATTGGTTTTATGGTATTTTTCTTTTCAATCAATTGATTTAAATCTGTGAGTAATTCTTCATTACCCAAAGCTTAAATAGAGATTTTTCTAATATGATTTAAATCCTAAGACTTTTCAATACCTAAATATTATTCTGCAACCACTTTGTCACTAATCTCAGTCAATTTTTATTGTAATCTATTCTCATAAAAGCCATTTAATTTAATAATTCTAATTTTTAGTTTAACTCTCAATTTTAAGTTCCATTAAGCTTTTTTAAATTATGAGTTAAATTCCTTCCATTGTTTATCGATATTTTCAATGTTTTGATACTTAATTAAGGGATTTCAAAGATGCAATCAACAAATACGAATCTATCTTCTTATTCTATAAATCCATATAAATCATAATAATTTCCTTTTTATGATTACTGCAAATATTATTTAAACTTGGTGTTTTTCTATTAATAATCTAAAAAATACAGCTTCATTTTATTTTTTATAGTTTCCAGAAATCAAATCAATTACATCATTTTCCATTAAATCCTTAAGTGTCTCTTTTGTGTTCTTAAATAATTATAAAGTCTAAGAGTATTCAGAACAATTCAATAAAAGTTCAAACCGCCTTGAGATTACCTCATTTGAATAATGATCAACTTATAATTTAATTTATTTCTATTAACTTTAGGAATATAATTCTGATAATTATTATATATCTTCAAAGTAATTAAATTATAAGTCATATTCTTATAATTCTTATTTTTCTTTTCAAATTGGAAATATGAACTATTATATTTATTGATATATTTTATCCAAAGAATCTTGTATGGATTGTTTGAAAATAAGAATTTGATAGATGAGTCTAGCTTGATTCTCTTTCGTTTTAATATCTTTTTATTATGCTTTGATTTATTAGATTCCACCCTTTTGATTATTCTATCGTAGTCACTTTTAATATTATTTATTTTCTCTACTAAACAATTGCCACAAAAAAATTGAGCTTTGTTCTTTTTTGATAAGTCAAAATCGACTGCAATCAATTCGAAGTTATGAATTTCGCATATTATTTCATATTGTTCTTATAATTGTTTTTGGTTTAAGATATTCATGATCATAATTTAATTCCAGAATTTAATGATAAAATGTAATGGTTTATTTTCTCACATTCTTATTAGTTATGTTTTTTATTGAATGAGAATAATGAATGCAATACATTTACAATCCAAATGGCTTTTATAAATTATTTCTTTTGATAAATCAACTCATTATTAATATATACTTAAATTACTTGATATTCATCCTTTAATTAAAAATAATTTATAGAAAAACTCAGATTTTAATAAATAATACTTTTATTAATCTTTATTCTTCTTAAAATTTTATAACTTTCCTTAAATGCTAGATATTTAAGAGGATTCTATAAAAAATAGATAATTAATAATATTATTGTTATTGGTTTCAAAAATTCGACTTGTGCTTATAGTAGGCTTCTGCTTTTATGCTATGGAGTCCATCATTATAAGTATTGCCATTAACATTTAATATTTTAATTTTCTCAACCTACTAATCTGAAAATTTAAAAGTAGTTATTGATTATATACTACTACCTGAATAAATCATTGTTTCTACATTTTTGTATATTAAATACACTTTTAGTGTATAAAATCTATTGTCTTAGTCCCAAATCCATATTTTTAAGGGATTCAATTCATATTATTGCTATAAATCTCATATTATTGAAAATCCGATATGACTCCAAGTATATCCATACCCTCCTGTTATCGTATAAATACTATCGCGATAACAACTTGCATTATTGGTTCCAGGAAAGAAGTTTTATTATTTTGAGGAAACTACTGCTCCACTATTCT